TCCCAGAGCAGAGAAGTTTTGAGAGTGATGACATAACTTTAAACACTCCATCTAACTCTCCAAACCTGAGTACTCGCACTGAAACGGAACAGGACGGCAACGCTACTCACGGTTTAACTGACACTATTATTACTCCAGCTTCCATCCACATTTTGGCTGCACAACTAGACAGCAACTCTCCAGATCCTAGTACTTCTGGCCTTGGCAGTTCAGCAGAAGATGATGGCCTCTCCTGTTTTTCCTGTCAGTCAGACAAATTTTCTGCATCATCCTCTGAGGCTGAAAGCAACACAGTCCACTTTGAGAAGTCTGTCTTGGTACAAAATATAAACTCAGAGACTGAAGACATTGTTGCTGACAGGTCAGATGATCTTCGGTTAATTGATGTTTCCCAACAAATGATAACTAAGCATGAAGATGACTGGAAAAAAATAAATCTGAACAGTTCAGAGGTGTCTTTGACGCCTCAGATGCCAACACTAAGACCTGCAACTGCTAAACAGGAAACAGAAAGTGAAGATTCTCAGACACCAAACACTTCCAGTATGTATCCAGACCTGTTGATGCAACCCTTTGAATCTAAGCTCAAATCCTTTATTTTGTCCGACAACAAAAATAAAGAACAAAGTACAGTTTCTATGATAGATTTCTCTGAGAATTTTGATTACTTAATCAAAGATACTAGAGATGTGATGATTCCTGCGTCTCCATTCGATGATTTATTTTCCACACCACCATCATCACACATCACAACTTCTCCTGCTGCTAAGCATGATTTGCTGGATGCATCCTTTAAGAATACTGTTTTAGGAGAACCTGAAACTAATGTGCCATTTATCTATTTTGATGATTTTATTGACATCAGGCTAAATGAGAACAACCTTCACCAAGTCTTTGACAGTAATTTCTCACAAGCACAAACATTTGATCAGGGTAGCAGCAGCTTCCTTCAAAGCCTTCATGTCAGCTCTAACTTGCAGGATTGCCAAACCTGCTATTCTCATCCTTCCTCCAAAGTTTTTGGTGTCTTAGAACAGGATGAGCCTCTGCACCCTGCAAACTCAACTACCTGTGAGGACTTAAGTGACATTAAAACAAACTCTGGTGTTGCTTTAGCACCAGAAGATTCCAAAAATGAATTCTCAGAATTTGAGGGTGAAATCAGCCAGACCTATGGTTTCAGAGATTCACTCCATTGTGCTCAGGATAAGATGGAAAATCTTGTAACAAGCCTCACATTCAAAGATGGATTACAAATCCAGCCTGCACCGCTGCCATTCTTGGATATGAACTGTAATCCAAAAGACAATGGAGAGGCAGAGAATCAGCATGGTGCCTTAGCTGAGATGTTCTCAAATTGTGCCCAGGGACAGGATGCCACACTTCACCGTTCCCAGTCTGAAGGTGCACTGACACTTACCTTTGACAAAATCTTCCTGCCATCTTTTGGAAGTGATCCAGGTGCGACACAGGGGTCTTTTTCTGCTCAGCTTGACCCCATCTTTCCCTCTCCTACCTCCTTTGTTCCTCCTCTAACTCCTGAAAGCAATAGCATCCCTGTAGCTCTCTGTGCCCTCTCTCCCCTTGCCAATATTTCAGTGACAATGCCTCTAAGCCCAGCACAAGGTATCGCACCAAAGCCAACACTGGACGAGACAGAGCAGCAGCTGGAAGCAGCCACCCAGCAGTGCAGGTGAGGTTGCACATACTCAGCGCTTGGTGAGAAGGTGAAGAAGAATTTCTGTCCTGCTGTCTCTTCAGTTTCCTCCTGCTGCTCTGCTTCCGCCTGCTTGTCTTCCATGCCAGTTTTCAGGAGTGTTCTTCTTTGTGGTGTGACATTTGATGATTTATCACTTTGTTAAAACACACTTGCACACACACATGCTTGTGGTAACAGGACTCTTCTGCAGGTTTCTTGTGTGTGCACTAGCTGTGGTAACAGGAGTGGAAACTAAAACCTCAGGCCAATTAGCAGTTATTATTTTGCCCTGATTCCAACAGCACACAAGATCAACTTCACAACACACACACACACACACACACACGTTTACACACAGACTCCGCCCCCTTCTGCACAGGGTCACCTAACATCATACAACCACACTTGTGCTATGATTTTATTCAGAAATCTGTCCTTTTATCTGAGGGGAAAAAGGTGTTGTTTTGTTATTTTCTTTTCACCTTGTGGTAATAACACATTTAACACTATTCTACATGTTTGATTGCAAATTAAGTCCCTTCATTTTATATTTAATTCTCACCACTTTTCCCATAATATTACTGTTGTTTTTTTCTTCTTTGATCTTGATTACTAAACTAAAGTCTGGTTTGGGATTTTAACGTGTTTCCTTATGTCTGGTGTCATATTGGAAGTCTGGAAAACATGTGTGTTGAAAATGAGCAGAAATCATACCCTTAGTGACTGTAAGTGCACGTCAAGGCAGGGACTTGTGTAAATGTAGGTTGTTGACACTGGAAATTGTCTTTCCTGTCTTATTTGACAAGCATTGTCTCTGAGAGTCTTCAAGTTCAAATATTAGATAGTGGTGTGTGGCTTTTTGTTAGTTAGTTCCAAAAAAAGGAAACTGCATTTTCCAAACACAATCTGTGTTTTCAATGAAAACTATTGTTGCAAAGAAAACTGGGATTCTGTAAGATTTTTTCCTATAAAAACACAAAATGAAATTTGAACTAGTGATTTGTGCCACAAATAAAGATTTTAAAAGTTGTTATTTATATTTTAAATTAAAAAGTAAAACAAAACAAGAGACATTTGCTTTTTCTGTGGGAATGGGATGTGAATCCTAAGTTCTGAATGGCTGCTGAAAGTTAAAGTGGCAGCATAGAACAAAAATTTGCTAAATGGTAACCCAAAGCTAAACTAAAAGCTAAAGCAAAAAATTTTAAAGATAACATGACAAAAACAGGAGCTGAAAGCTTTATATATATATATATATATATATATATATATATATATATATATATAT